GGCTTGCCGGACTTGTTTTAAGGAGAAGGCGGCATTGCGGTTCCGAGTCCGGCGAGGATGATCAATGGGCTTCTCGGGGGTCTTGGTGTTCCATGCATCCTGACACGGAGCCCCGGCGTAATTCGGGTCGGATTGTTTTGAGAGGTGTAAGGATAAATATTAGGATTGGCCTGAAGATGTTGTAAGTATTCTATCATTAGAGTCTTATTCTAATGATAGAATAAGAAACTCATGTATATATTAATGTATTTGCACACGAGAATATGAGTTGAGAAGCGTTTTCTAAATGGTATCAAGAGCCATTAGAGGTTAAACCAACCCAATTTTTTTCTACGCTTCCATGGGTGAAAACAACAGCTCTTCAATGGCTTCAAGCCTATCTGTTGTCTCTCCTTCTCCAAATCTCGCACATCAATTGCCTGTGAAACTCACATCTTCAAACTTTCTTCTGTGGAAGACACAGTTTATGCCTATGGTATATGCATGTGGTTTGAACCATCACATTGATGATAGTAAACAGATGCCAACACAATTCCTAGATGATACTAATACCAAACCCAACCCGGCCTATACGGTTTGGTTACGTGAAGATCAACTTGTTTTAAGTTGCATTGTTGCTTCTGTTTCAGAAAGTATCTTGCCTCAGTTGGTTGGAGCAACAACTGCTCGTGACGCTTGGAATAAGCTTGTTGCTGCATATGCTTCCGGCTCAAAGCCACAGATTCGTGACCTTAAGACGCAGTTGCACACTTTGCGTCGTGATAATGCCAGTATTGAGTCATATGTGCAAAAGGCAAAGGCAATAGTAGATAAGTTAGATGCATTGCAACATCCAGTTCCTAATGATGATCTGGTGGAATTTGTTCTTGCTGGACTAGGACCTGTTTATCGTCCTTTTACTAGGTCGCTTGAATCGCGTCAATAGGATATTACTTTTGATGCATTATATGGATTGTTATTGAATGAAGAACGACAGTTAAAAAGGGATGAAGCCATTACTGTCATTGCACCTACAGCACAATTTACTCATAGTTCCTTTCCTACTACTCGTGGACGTGGTAGAGGCCGAGGGGGTCGAGGTCGTGGATGTTCCTCCAATCAAGGCTTTAATCAATTTTCTCAACATCGTGGGTTTTAAAATTCTACTCAACAGACCAATACTACTCAATCCCAAGCCTCGGACATGTCTGGAATTATTTGCCATAACTGTGAAGGCAAAGGTCATATTGCACGCGTATGTCCATCTCCTAAAATTAGCAATGGCAACAAAACTTCGAGACCACTTGTTTCCAATTTAGCAAGAACCCCTTCTGCCCAAGACTGGTTAATGGATAGTGGCACCACACACCATCTCACAGCTGACCTTGATAACTTGGGTATTCATTCCGAATACCAAGGTCCTGAAGAAGTCACATTAGGTAATGGTTCCAAAATTCCTATTTCTCACGTTGGTAAAAGCTCTGTTATTATTTCTGACAAAAAGTTCAATCTTGATG